AGGGATCACCATAAAATAAAGCAGCAAATAGTAAAGAAGTCAATGTAAAAGAGAGGCCGGGGATTTAGGGTATAGAGATCATAAATTTTCATCGATATAAACAGCCTGTGTACCTCAGGAGTTGAGGTTTAGCTATAATTTCAGGTCTGACCTATAGGCCTTCTGTGTTCACAGAACATGCACGATCAAGATGCCATCTGAGGAGGTGCTGAGAAAAAAAAGGAAAGAAAGGAGAAAAAGCAGTGTTTCAGATCTGTGTGATTTACACATTTAATCATCCCCAAACCCATCCGAAACACAACAGCGCAGTAGTTGAGAAGATTTTATTGTCTCACTAAATTACATTTAATTCTTACTGTAGCATATCCTATAAACAAGCAGGGTGAATGATGTCTCTACCATGTTCTTACAAAGGAAAATTGTCAAGTTCTTATGCGTGGTTTCTTGGAAGACCATTTTCCCTTTTTTTCCATATAGTTCAAACTTCCACCTTTACATGTTTCAATTTTAAATATGTATTTCAAAGCCTGCTTAAAACTTACTGGTTTAAAAAAAGTGATAAAATGAACTTGAATAATAGTTTAAAAGAAGCAGTAAAAGCAAGCAAATCAACAAAAAGGAGGAACTATTAGGTATTTAGCTCTTAGGAATTACTCTGAAATGGAATACTGAGTGGTTTTAAAAAGAATTTAAGTAAGCTACATGAAGCCTCTGATATATTATTCAGGGACTTTGAACTTAATATATGTAGGCACTAAAATAAACTTTCTATTCTAAATTGCTACTTAATGAGCAAATTATATTATTATATTTGTGTGTCTGTCTGTATAGTATAAATGGATATATATATATATATATATATATATATATATATATAGGGAGAGAGACACACACACACACACATATACATAATCTTTTTCTCTTTCTGTACATCTGTATCCCCACAGTGAGTTTTGGAGACAATACACCACACACACACACACACACACACACACACACTATAATAAGATTAGAACTGGCAATTGTTATATAAAGCTAGTCTAAGCAAATATTTAATGAATAGTGTTTATTTTTGGTTTTGAGTTGTTCATTAAGTTTTTAAAAATTAAGATCACAGAAAATCTGTCTCTAAAACATTCACTTGAGTAGTCTGCTATTAATTCTTAAAAAGATTTGAAAAAATAATTTACAGGATCATCTACGTTACTATTTTAGCACAAGAATTCTGGCAGTCTGTGTCAACTCTTTTTGCCGCTGAAACAACTGCAGTGCCTCCGGTAGGCACGGAGCGGTCTTGCCGTGGTGGAACGCAGGGAGGAACCTCCCTCACCTTCACCAGCTGGCCTGCAAGGCGGGGTTCTTTGCTTCATCCACTAGGCTGCACTGTTGCACAGAGAACAGATAAACTGTGTTGTGACCCGCTGCACAAGAACAGCTTCCTGCTGTGCAGAAACTTGTAAATGCTGTTACACTGTTTTCACTAACAAGAAAAGGAAAGAAGATCAAGACAGGGAGAATGGCACTGGAACATGTCTTTTTTCCTCAAAGCCAGGCCCACTATTCCGGATTTTGTGTGGAGATTTTGTGAAGGGAGAGGAAGCATACTCACTTTTATTGTTGAGAGTGAGGGGAAGGAAGGCGTGGTGACTCATGCTCTTCACAGGAGGACACAAAGACACTTCAAAGTATTTCTGAAGATGCTGATCCTCCCAGGAAGGGACCTGCCCAATTTTGCAGAACTTTTCCTCTGCAGCCAGGCGTTATTTCAATGTAAAACTTCAGGACAGTGAACTGCAGATTTTTCTACTGTGTCACGCTGAGATGGCTGATGATTCTGTTTGGGAATTATGGTTGTGTCTTTCACTCACCTACCCCAGGGTGTTATCTGAAAGGTGGAATTGTATTCCCTTTGAATAAATGAATGAATGATGAGTGAATGAATGAATGAAGCATTTCCATTGCCTCCGTTTTTGTTATTTAAGCCACATTAAGAGAACATTTGCAGCATTGCCCTTCTATCTCCTTGCGTATTTCCCTGTCTACATATGGACTGTGCTTTATCAAAGCAATTACTTGCAGAGAATCTAGTAGGGGGAAAGTCTCCTCCTTTAGTTCTGGTGTAAATCACTGAGAGTTTTTGCTGCATGGATTAGCACCTCTTGTATCCCCCATCTCTTCAGGGCAGTAAGCTGAGACAGTCGTAATGAAGACCAGAGCTATCGGCTACCACCATCACAAAACTTTTCAGGGGAATAGGTCATCAAAAAGACCCAAGTCTGGAACTGGTTATTTCAGTTGGCTTGAAATAAGTCTCACAGTTGGTAATTGCCTTTTTCAAGGTTTTGAATATTTTACTTATAACTTTCAGCTACCTACCTTGTTATTGTATAATGGACGTAATAATGAAAAGGTGATACATTTTTGGTCAAAGGTCAGGAAGGGAAAACACATGCCGTTAATTATGCAAATATGTATTGTATGCGTATTAACCTGCATAGGACACAAACTTTAAAGAAGTTATGTTTATGAAATCTCATGTTTCATTTGTTTAAATATAGGTCTTATCGGATTTGTGTGTTTGAAATTTCCAAGAGGCTGCTTTTCCTTTCGATAAGTTTTCACTGACATCTACTGCAGATGGATAGATTGTGTTCAGTTTTTAACAATTTCCAGAAAATGTGACTTTACTGCTTCATTTCATGGTCAGTGTTTCCCTTCATTGTGAAGTTATGGTATGCAAACCGGTCGTCTGCTTCCCTTCTTTTTTTTTTTTTTTTCCGGTACCGGGAACCGAACTCACGACCTTGCGCTTGCCAGGCAAGTGCTTTGCCGCTGAGCTAAATCCCCAGCCCCTTCCCTTCTGATAATGATCTCAAGAAATGGAAGCTAATATTCTTTGTGTACTTCGAAGCTGTTTAGCGATTGACCGCTTTTCCTTTGCAGTGTGCTAATTCCTTTAGTGTTTCTCTGAAAGCGCTGTTGTCCAACACTTGGAACATTTAAAATATGACCAGCACAAAACCTGAGATGTGGGTGACATTCAACAAACATTGAATGGAAACATAGATGTATTTCCTGGATATCTAAAATTTATTGAGCCTGTTATGTGTCAGTTGCTTCGGTAGATATTTTATATGTATTATATAATACAACTCATACAGTGAATGGGATGAAGTGGGTATTACCCCAATGTGATGCATAAAAAAGTGGTTAAAATTTTCAAATTATGGAAAAGCAGACCTAGGATTTGAATTCAATTCTGTTGTTTCTACATTTAGTATTCTGATGCATCAGTAGTTTCTCATTTAAACTTTGCCACATCTCCAAGCTTAGTCAACCAATAACCATGTTTATTGAGAGCTTGCTACATATTTAACTTAGATGAAATTACACAAACTATAAAGCCAATCTGCCCACCTTTAAACATATATCATAAAACTGGAGAGAAAGGCAAACTACATAGACAGAAAGTATCTGAAAGCAATAAAAAAATGGGGTTCTGTATCATATGGAATTTTTCAAGTCTTTCCCATTCAGAGAAGAGACAATCATTACTGGACAACAATTTATTAATAATAAATTCAGGATACAAGCAATTCATTCAACTAATCATTCAGCAAGTATCCATCTGCCAAGAATTGGCAGGGTATTAAACAAAAGAATGTTAAATTCTACTACAAACAATTCAAGGCAGATAGAAATAAAGAATTCTGGAATGAAGTCAAAAGAAATATACAGAGTCACAGTTTCTAAGGAAGTGGTGATTTTAACTTAGACATGAAAAAGATTATTTTTGCTGCTGCAGCTATTGATAGAAGCCAAAAGTGGAAAGATGAAATTTATCTAATCAGTAATTATGCCATAATGAAGATCCCTGAGTGGGAAAATTGAAGAGAATCTTCAGAAATACTTACTGCTACATGAAATGTACTCACTGAGTTTGAACACAGAGGGAGTAAAGTCAGTTGTTCCTCTAATATGTGACCATAGAATGCTTCTTAGGGATTCATGAGCTGCCATTAATACCTTTAAAAGTCATATATGATTATATAGGCTCAGTCTTTTAAAGATAGACTGCTATTTATCACCATGGCATCATTAGGGTTTAGCACACAGTGTCTAGCGTAATTCATGCTCATTACATACGTGCGCAATTGAAATTAATTTTGATTTCCTTTCTCAGATTCTCCCCATGAGCTACATCTTAAAATTTTCAAGTGAATCAAAATATATCAATTTTAAACAAATGCTTCCTGGCAAATATGTACATATGAGTGTATGTGTGTATGTATGTATGTTTTCTCTCTCAACTACTGGTTTTTTGCTATTGTGTATGTTTGTATATGCTTCCTCTCTATATCAACTATTGATTTTTCTGTTTTATTAAGCACATCAATGATTTCTTAGTTAAGTAAAATTTATTGAATATGTATTAGCAGAAATATATGTATGCTCTCCAGAGCTAATATTTGTGTACAATGACCTGTGAATTGTATTGTCTCTTAAAATAAGACTAATAATTTATGAGGAATCTAAAGTAGTGATTTAATTTATGAATCTACTAGTTTTGGGAATTTGGATAGAGATAGCATCTAAAAATAGGAATATGGATTCTATAACAATCTCATAAGATTGTGTAGGACTTGAATAGCAATTACACTTGAGACGCATTGTAGTTATTATGTTGACAAATACAAAATGTAAAACTGTTAGGGTCAGTGCAAATTCCTGAAAATAGTTCATCATTTGGCATGGACTTGAAATCATCTCTATTTCATTCCTGTGCAAAGAGAGAAAAAAATCCAAAAGGATCCTATTCTGTCCAGTCCAAGCAGAGCTGACAGATACATCCAAAGAATAGAATTTAGAGAAATAAATAGTTCATACCGTTTCCTTCTTCATTTGAAGTTGGTTTATGATTCTATCAGATGCATGAACTACTGATATTGATTTTGCAAATGCACAATGAAAAATTCATAAGGAGAAAGTTGTTATGTTTTTAAAATAGATATGATAGTGTGGTTAAATCCCTTCCCAAGACTGGAGGAAATTGTAGAGGTCTAGGGAAAATGATGACAGAGAGGCAAAATAACAGGTGTATAAGGTGAAGTAGGCGTCAAGTAAGCCATTATTGTTTTGACTAGCTTTTCTTTGGGTGGGGCTTTTCTGTCCACATTCTACCTTTACATATGGACAACTGCGTTTTACGAACCTCTATAAATTCTTTCTTCTTCAGTCAATATCACTGAAGCCCCACCCATGTAGTAAATATTTTATTTGGTTAGTAATTTCTAATTTAATGAGAGATTCTGTGAGGGTATTCTTGCTGTGAAGAGACCTAGTCCTAAAAATCTGATTAGCAAGATTCTCATATTGACAGAAGATTTTTTGTGCTTTTGTTCATAAATGCTACCTGTTGTGTAAGCAATCAATGTGGAGAATAAAAACTGTGACTCTGGCAGATATAATTCCCTCGGATGCGCCTGACGACTAGGCATATCATGCGACGCCAGCCGGGGAAGACACGTAGTAACCTAGTCCGGCGGTTTTGTGCTCCTCCACATCAATTTGGTCCGTATCTGAAAGATACAAAAAGGAAGACTTCCCCCTTAAAATGCGTAGATGTTTTTGCTAGTGACGTTAAATTTGGGTGTTTACGCACACTTTAAAACACACATATTCATAATTATTGGCAATGTGAAATCAAAATTGAAATATAAACCAAACTATCGCTTAAAACCTTGCACCTGTGAACATACCACATAACATACTGATCGCGGGGACGTCATGATGTCTCTTCTACCTTGGCGACTGTGACTGCAACTTGTCTCCACTTGCCCTCCTCCCTCTACGGCTCTCTCTGATTCTCTCCGTGATCTTCCAAGGGTCGTTTCCCTCGGCGAAAGCTGCTTTATATGCGTTATAATAATTCCCAGTCTCAGTTTCTCTTCCAATCTCTGTTAGAGAGGATAAGGGAGCATAATATCAGCTGAATGATAACAAAAAAATTAGCTCGGGGAACGCCCCCTCTTCTCTCTCCCTTCGCTTTCTTTGTCTCTCCCTTTCCTTGACCGACCAGCGAACAAATCTAACTTGCGACGTACTTATCACGGGACCAGCACGTTCCTGCCCTATTTCTCCTCTAGCGTGCTGAGATGAGACCGATCTTTCTGATTAGAATTCAGTGGGTGAGAGTCTGCATATAAAGCGCTATCCTACTGTGCATGCAAAGGAACTGTTCAGAATTTTCCAGTCATCTTTGCTTCTCTAACACCACCCTGTTAGAAATATGAAAACATACCAAGTTATCTTTTCTGGGAGTCTGAGAAGATTAAATCATTTTAACCTTTCTCTTTTTTATATGTATGTTTCCTGAGGGGGGGGGGAAATAGCTGTGAAATCAACATACTATGGTCCCTTTTATTAAGGAAATCGTAATTATGAAAATGATAAATGTTAACAATAGGAGACAAGTAATGGCAACAGAAAATAAAAATAGAATATTCTAAACCTTGAAACATTGTATTGGCCTTATACATGAACTAGAACAAAATAAATCAATTAAAATGTTAACTAACATAGTAAAATATAGTGCCCTTTATAAAGTTAAATATTACAATCTGCCTTGTAATAAAAGATTTGGAGACTACTGAGATGTTTTCCTTGAGGAGTTTTTAAATGTAAAGAATCATTTTGATTCCCAATTTAATCTAATTATTTAAGTGAAGTCCTCTATGTTTTGTGAAAATGTTAGCTATACCTATTAAGTGCCAGGTTAATATTGTTCTTATGCTTATTAAACATCCTTAAGATGAACATTAAATGTTACTAAGAGAAAAGAATTAAACCTGTTTAGCGAAGAGGCATGTGTACATAGAGTTATTTATGGAAAGAACACCCTGCTAGTGTTACTGAATAGTGTGTCTTTACGGAGGAGCTGGCTGTGAACCTGGGGATAAGGAAGCCCTGTGCAGTGCCTCACCCTGGTGGAGCAGCGGTCATCGCTGCATAGGAGTCTCCCTTCCAGAGTACGTCAACAATGGTTTGCTTCTTGCTCAGTGTTCTCCCAAGAAAAAGACCAAGCAGACTCTCCCCAAGTTTACTTTAAGGTCACCAGCCCTGCTTTCAGTGACATAAAATGTTCTGGATTGGAAATTTGGTGGGTTTTATAAGTGAATCTTAATACTTAAATTAGCTGCTTATTTTATTTTTAGCAAAAATTGGCTGCAAAACTGATGAGGCTGGTTTGTAAATTATAATCTGTAATTCTAGACATAAACCTGCATATTGACAGATTGGGACCTCAATCTCTCTTAGCAGATTTGAAGGTTCTTTAAAAATTCCCTTGGATAATTTTTAGGAATACTTTGGTTTGCTTCAAAGTTTTGCACATTTCATGTCAAATCCCCCCCGCCCCAGTTCAGAAACTCTGACAACATAAGATGTTTTTCTTCACAAAGAAGGGATCAGGTTGTAAACGTCACACATTGCAAATGTGCTCTCATTTAAAAATGAGTATGCTCCCTCTGGCTTGCCATAGATCCCATGCCACGTACCTGCTGCACTATATCCTAGTGTCAGGTGCTATGCACAATGGTCACATCTACTCTTCTGTTTATCTTCTATGGGCCTCACTTCATTTATTTGTCACCTGTTTGATTTGGGTTCTGACAGCTAACTCAGAACTGCTGTGATAGATTCAAGGAGAGGAAGATGAATTATCTAGATTTGCTATTGGGCGAAATGAAAGCTGTATCTAATAAATGCCCAAACTTGAATTGAAATTTAGACTCTTATAGTCAGAATGCCATGTTCTATCTACCACCATTTCCAAATTTGTATTCTAGTTCTTCACTTTTGGTCACCCATCATAAAGAACTTTTGATTAAAGAAATAGTAAGATTTATAAAAATTTCAGGATTCTGTTTCCATGTTTCCAGGTGAAAGTGATCTAAACTTATGGAGATAATTTTCACCTCTTATAATTTCTGTCATGAACCCAGGGTTCTTTGTAGTAGATGGGTACTCCATCTTCAGATGTGCATATTAACTTTGCAAGTGTGGTGCTACGTAGGATATGGGGATTTCTGAACTTAGTACTGCCCAGCTGCTTTTAGCAAGAGACCACAAAGTGAGCTGTTTGGAATCTGCACTGTCTCCCCTCACATTTAGACGCTATCCGTAGAACAGCGTTTGAAGGGCTCACTTTCATTGTTTACTTGTATGATTATTTCCCTCTCTAGACCAGAGTTTCTCAATAAATGTTTCTATGACGATGAAAATGTTCTATAATCTGTACTAACGCAGCTCTGCAGTAGCTGAAATGTAACTCCTACAACAGAGGAACTGAATTTTAATGTTATTTAAATAAATGATTTAAATTCAAATAGTCACATATGGTTAGTGGCTTTCATTGCCCAAAATCTCTTCTGGTTTGGAATCTGTGCTGTTCCTTTCTCTATTTTTGGCACCTTTTACAATAGATAATAAATATATGTTCAACGAGGGAGTAAGAACAACAGACAGAGCAGCACAGTCCATAACGCTATGAAATCAATCAATGGATGGGGATCAATAAGTTGCTCCAGGATTTGAAGGAAAGGGTCCCTTTGCATATTGTTGAAAGGACTCAAAAATTAAAAGCAAAGTTGTCGTATGAGCCAGTAGCCCCACTTCTGGGTATACATCCAAAGAAGATGAAATCAGCACATCAAAAGTAATCTGTGTTTTCATGGTCATTGCATTGTTACAAACAAGACACGGAATCAACCTAAGTGTCCATAAGAATGGTGAAGAACGTGGGATGTATGTACACAATAGAGTAGTGTTTTAGTTGAAAGAAGAAACTACTATGAGTTGCAACAATAGGAGCCCTCTAGGATGAGCCCGGAAGATCTTATGCGGAGTGACACAAGGCAAACACCACATGACCTCTCTTACACGTGCAGTCTGAAAAAGTGGAGCTCATGAAGTCAGAGAATAGAGTGGTGGTTACCGGGAGCTAGGGCGGTTAGGGAGAGATATTGATCAAAGAATGTAAAATTTCAGTTAGATATGAGGAATGAATTCAAGTGATCTATTATATAATGTGTTGATTATAGTTAGTAACAATGTGTTGTATTTTTGAAAAATCACTAATAATAGATTTTAAGTTTTTTCACAGAGAAATGATAAAATATGGGAAGAAATACATGTATTTCAACTCTATTTAGCCAGTCAATGATATGTTCATATTTCCAAACATACAGAGCATTAAATATAGAAAATTTTTGCCAAATAAAAGTAAATACATAAGTAAATTATTTTATTCACAAGATATTGGAATGTGAGACTTTGGAATAGATTTAAATACAACTCTGTAACTAAGGGACAGTTAGTAATGGATATTGTAGCTAATTATCTGTGCTTATAAGAATTTTCTGAATTTTTCTTAATATGAGGAAAATACTAAGTCTGGGGTGAAATTGAAGGGAGTAGAAAAAACTGCATTTATGACCTTGTAGATTTCTGGTACATCTAATGTTAGGGTCAGGACGATAGATGGAGTTTTGCCCCCATCTCAAACTATTTCTAATTATGGATTATTCTGAGAGAATCTATTAGGTTTTGGATGAAAAAGAATAATTACACAAATGAAGCGCACAGTATTGATAACCACTAAAATATAAAATATTATTTCTTTGCTTACTCTTACAGAGTGAAGCGAGCATAGCCTTTTCTAGATGTTGAAATGCCTTCTGCTCTTAAACAGTGCTACTTTAGCCTATCTAATATATGAGACTTTTCTCTTTCTGGATAAAAAATACAGGAAATTTTACCGGAAAAGGAAACTCTGAAGATTATTTTAATGGAGATGAAACTTAGTTACTCAACCTGACATAATCTCAGTTTCTATTTGTCGGCCTAAGAATCACGGTGCACAAATGAATGGGAATAGTTTGGTTGCCGTGAAGCAGAGGGCAGTGTTACACTGTGGGCTTATGTGTCACAGAATGAGAAAGAGGCAGCTGCTGAGGAGAGGTTTTGTATGATTAATCTCAAAAAGGATCACTCAGTTTCCACTTGCACTAATGTTGGGCCAATTTTTCAGGGCCTTTGAATGGAATCCTTCATTTTTATCTTCTACCAACATCTGAACATCTTTTGATTTTGTGGGCTGGTATAACATTGAATTTCTCCTGTAATATGAATATGTGTGTTTGGGTAGGACAGATAATTAATTAGATATTTCAAAGTAAGTGTCCTTTATTAGTAAATGGTGAAAGGGCTCATGTCCAACTATTCTCTCCAGTTTTAAGAAACAAATGGTAAATCAGAAAAAGAAGTAAGAGAACTGAGGGCTTATTAGACCTTAATGTAATGCAGATACGGCCTGGAGGGGTTCACTGTCGCAGGAGACACAAGCAGTCTCAGTACTTATCTTTGAGGTGCCATTTTGAATTCCTTCCCACTTAAAGTATTTCAGGTCTGTTTCTGCTTAAATAATTTGGGTCTAAATAATGTCACATGAAATGATTTTTTTTTTTTTTTACCCTGAAGAGAATCATGTTATCTCAAACATAGAAATTACCAGGAATCTGTTTTTCTACTTTTCTGCTTGCTACTGATAGAAGTAGTTTTGATAAACTTGATATGAAAGTCTATGAAGTTTTAGGTTATTTTATTCAAGAGTTTTTGTATTAGTGCTCAGATATAACTATAGCGAAGGTTTCAGTAGACAGTGACAATACTTTTAGAAACAGAAGCTTTCCCCGACCCTATGACAGAGCTCGACTACTGCGTCCTCCCGTGGACCAGATCTATTCTTCAGTGGTAACTTGAAGGCGATGCCGAGGCATGGAGTGCTCTCATTCCTTTACGGTGACCGTAGGCGCTACCCAGAATGCAGTTCAAATCAAGGCCAATTTATGTAGTTGCCAAACGAGCATTGAATTACGTTAGACTTGTAGAATGTTTC